AGAATAGAATTACTGTTTTAAAGCATAATAAAAGTAAATCTTTGCTAATAATAAAAGAATTTATTTTTCGTGATTACAGCATATCAAACAAATATCATATTCATTGATCTGATTGGTTAATTATCATGCTTGATCATCAGATGTGACAAAATCGAATTTTGAATGGCCACTTGTTTGTGATGATCATCAAAATGGAGAGCTCTGATTGGCTGGTGTTGACGGACGGACGAATGCACTTTAATATATAGATATCAATATACTCAAAAGTTACCGGTACTTTATTTTTTTGATATACATATACATATAACACAAGTGTTGTATATGTAACCTATTCACATCTTTTAGTTTCTTCTTCGTCTTTTATGATTTTCATTAAATGCTACATGTAAGTTAACTGGCCTAAATGGCCATTGTTCGAAAATTTGAGCCAATTCAATAAATTGTTCAACCGTTGTATCCTTAACAAGGACTTGAGAATCAAATGACAAATTTTTTATAAGAGACTCTGCACCAGCTCCTAAAGTACTATTTATGTAAATATTGAAATACTATTATTACTAGGAAGGAAAAGTTGTTGTAAATACCAAGTAACAAAATACCTTATAGTATCACATAATGGCACGGTTTTCTTAGACAATACATGACGGAGAACATATTCAAATACATCCAATTGAGCTATGATTATTAAGATAAATTTGATTAATTATAGAGAGTGTATAAAAATAAATCTTCAATATTATTGAACGAATGAATAAATAAATAGTAACCTGTAAGTTTTGGTTGAGCTTGCGGTGTCAAACTTAATAATACATTTATCGACTGACAAGAAAATGATTAATCATCTATTAATTAACAATATTTTAATCATCTGAAAAAAAAAAAAAAAAATTATTATAATACTTTTGGCGTATATGCGCGTTCTGGAATCACTCTTAAAATATCTATATTTGCAAGGGATTCTATTATAACACCCTGTTTGCATCGCTTGATATCACCTAACATTGCCATATTCTTCTACAAAATTATGTTTAATTTTTTTAATATTTATATATGTCTAGTAACAGATCATTAAAATACAAACCTCATACAAGTACGCAGGCAAGAACACATTTGTCCGAACGCGTCCGTATGCCTGAAATC